CACATCTCTTGATAAATCATTCCAATCATTAATTAGTTTGCTAAAAGGTGCATTTCGTATTCAGTAACAATTTGGCTTATTTCGACTTCCAACCACTAGTTCTCATCATACCTTTATTAGCTTAAGGGGATGTATCAGCGATCTTCTCCCACACACAGGGTCTAAGATTAATCACATTTTTCTTTTGTAAAGTAATAAGGCCAGTTTGCCCTCACCTCAAGAATCATTCCTGGAGACACTTCCACTGCACCTCTCCTTTTTCCAGGTGATGTTGAACTGGCCCTTCTGACCCTGTGACCTGCCTGCACTGGGCCATAAGCTGCAACCTCAGCACCTCCCTCAGCAGCAGCCAGTTCCATAGGCTGGGCAGGTTGGGAAGCCCAATCCCTACAGGCAGACCCAACAGCGTGTTGCCCTCGTGGGGATGTCTCTTTATGAAACAACCTACACCATGTTTTGAATCCATACTGCCTAAAAGCACCACCTACCTCCTTACTCCTGTGCACTTGGTCTTGCACTAGAATAAATCAAACTATGAGATTTATTTGTACAAGTGACTTGTCCAGCAGTTTGTCACCAGCAAACCTTCCAGCAATTCATTTTCTTTCAGAAAATTGATTGTCATAACACCAAGAACATTCCTAGGATGCCAACGGGAATAGGTGCCATATTGATTTTGTGTGATGCTATTTTTAACCAGAATATCATATGCTAAATGATGTTTTGCCATTCTCAACTTGATATGCAAGTTCGTTGGTCAAAATATGTTTCACAGGAAATCTTTCTGCACGCTTGTACACTGTATCATTCCGTGACTTTCTCTGGTACTTGGCTACCACAACTACAGCTACTTGGATCCATTTGGTGTATTGGCAGTTTATTAACACACATACTCACATTGTCTCTGGACCGTCCTCAGCTTTCCAAGATTTGGAAACCTCCAGGATCTGGGGTTTTTTTGGAAGCAATTTCCACACTTTTGAGAACTCAGTCTTTCTGAAAGAAAGCTTGAGGCCAGGTTGTGTGTTACAACAGAATTGGTATCTTGGACAATATTAGCAACTGCTCGACATCCTTCTTTACTACTTCTGCAGCAGCAAATGTCTCATTGTTAGCTGAAGATTGAAGTGCATCTCCTTGCTTTTCCCAGCACAGGTCGGAAAGAGTTAGTGGACAGTTCCACTCAGTGTGAAGTTCAAGGCTTGCCCTCATGTGGGAGGCAGAGACCAGCTGACACTGGTGTCCCTGCAGTGCACAGGGAAGGCCAGTGCTGGAGAGGTAGGGCAGAGAAATGCATCTAGGAGCTGCAGAGGTCTGAGTATGGCTGGCTATGATTTAAACCAAGCAAAGCTGCACTTCAAATTACAGTATTTAGCAATGTGGTACTTCTGACCTTAGTCTGTTTGTTGCTGCATTCCTCATCAGTAAAACAGGGTGCTCTTCCTTCATGGTAAAACTGTGAAGACAGAGTAATAAGTATTCAGGAAACACTAAGAAACTGTAACATTCAAGTTCTATAAAAAAAAAAAAAAAAAAAAAAAAAAAGGCAACAACTCATACTAAGAAAATAACTTTTTATTTTTCAGTCTAGGGATTTGTTATGGGGATGCAAATAAGGCCGTATATTGAACAATTGGGATTAGTTAAAGTAAGCCTTTCAGAATTCTTCCTGTGTATCAGTGAGGCATGAAAATGACAGTTGCCCCACCTTTTGTAATAAAAAACAACAAAAAAGCATTAAAAATGAACAAAATCAAACAAAAAACCTCCAAGCACCCACCACCCACTCCCCTCCAAAGCAGGGCATCTATTGCAAGAAAATCATGTAATTAAAAATTGTAGTGTAATAGACACACTGAGGCCAACTTTTGATTTCACAAAAACCTTTATTTCTGGCACCTAAGTATTTAATTTGCAATCTGATAGAAAGTTTCATGTTGTCCACATATGTTTTCAACATGATTCTATGCTACAGTTATATTTTGTAAAGCCTGCTTCTTTCCAATTCTCAGCACTGAGAAATTTCTTCTTTCTTAGGTGCTATGCTGTGTTTATGCATAACAGATGCCGAGGTAACAGCTTATTTTAAATAAAAGGAGGCCTAAAGGAGAATTGCAGCAAACTGCTTATTAAAGATTGTGTCAGACACAGACACTGGCCTGGCTGCCTTTATTTTACCCTTAGAAATACCCAGAATGTTTTGCTACCGTCAAATTGGTAAAGTGCATTCCCTAGGATGAAATCCTCTGAAGCAATACACATCCTTTATCTGTTAGGCAAAAAGGCTTTAAATTTTCATGTGGTGGTCCACATCAGACACCCTCTGTTTATTCCTTGTTGGCTAAAATATCACTTCACAAGAATTGTAAAGCCTGTTCTCTTAACTCAAAAATCAAATGTCACTTTCTTCCTGGCACGTTACCCAGTCATTTCAGTGCTTCAATCATGTGAATCCTTCAACCATATATTTCTGTAAAAACACTGTCAAGTATCTTCCCGCTAATGATCGCTTCCAATTTCTCAGTTATTACTAAGTCTTCTCACAGTGTATGCGCAATTAACAATTTTGTTCTTTATCTATTTATATTTGCTCATCACAGAGTATCTAATTAATTAATTTCACATTTAAGCATCTGTACTGGTATGACTCCCTTGACCACTTTTTCTTCATTTGCAAGTTAAGTATCTTCAGACCATGGATAAAGTCAAGAAACTCAGAAAACTGATTTTTCCCTTATCACCAACAAATAAATTGCATCTGCTGCAAGTCCTCTTCCACTCTGGGAGAGGGTTTGATGTTACACAAAATATGCCATGCAGCTTACTTAAGCCAGCAACTTATGTATTCCTCTATGTATTTTCCTGTATATTCATCTTCTTTCTACTTTTGGAGAAATTGCTGAGAAGGTCCTGCCCTGTTTTTGTCTCCAGTCACCTTTGCAAATCCTGGAGCCATGCAATTCCTGTCAGTGCTGACTGGGACTGGTCTAATTAGGATTTGTCTATTCATAAAAATATCAGTGAATAGTGGATTAAAAAAATATAAACAGAAAACTGTTAATCTAGGCATAGTATTTTTAGTACTGCATGTACGTGCATATTTTTCCTCTGTAAATGAGAAATGTAAGAATTACTGCAGTGCTGTAATTCAAACTCAGCTATTGTTGTTGTGCCTCAACAGAACGGGGAGAGCTCTCCTATCAATCTTTTCCCCCCTCCCAAGGGCTTTCCCACCTACCTCAGCTAGCACAAAGTTCCATATTTGTTACAAGAGTATACGGCGTTCTCAAACACTGCCAAAAAACCTGCTTAGTTGCAAGAGTATACACACAGCTGCATGATCCTAACCCTACAGTCTCTTCAGACACTCGTTATGTCTTTGTATCAGGGTATCAGGACAAAGCTCAACTAACTTCAAGTTAATCTGCAAATCTAAAGGCCTTAAGAGAGGCAAATGAAGCTAAAAGAGCATCAGATTTTCAATTACCAACCAAGCACTATCACTGTGTGAGTGCCCATGTTTTCATAAACGGGAAATAGGAGCACAATCTCATCAGTCCTGGTGTTATCAGCCAACATGAATTTCCCCTTGCCGTGCATCTTACCACTTCCTATAAATATAACAAAAACTGAACACAGTTTTGAGTCTCTGTTTTCAGCAGAGCCAGCAAGAAATACTCTTTCCAGTTCACGTTGACTGATGCATGTACGATGATGACTCTTGTTCCCAGGTGTTTGTGCAAGCCCTAACAATACCCCAACATAATGGTTCAGTCAGTCCAGCATATAGAGAGGTTTTAGTGGTTTATTTCTTAGAAGGAAGGTTTGTGAACTGTTTTCTGTTGAAGTGAAAATCCAGTAAGTTTTAGACCATGCTGAAGACCCACAATTTTTAAATGAGAAGAAATTAGTGAGCAAATAAACAAAAACAAACAAACAAAAAAAAAGTTAAAATAATTACTTGATAATTTCAAATAAATATGATAATTAGGCACCTATCGTCTGGATGGCTTACTAAAAAATAAATAAATAAATGCAGGAATAGAAAGACTAAGAAATAAGCATTGATTTGTGACTGAAATCCTCCAATTTTTCCATTTTTATGAGACATCCAGCCCCATCTCTGCTCAGGAGAAGTCCGAAGTCCACATTCCATTCCTCAGTAGGTAGCCCCAAGCTCTTGCAGAAGGAAGTCTGGAGATGTTAAAGGAAGTCTGAAGATGTGCTTTATGACTCAGATGATTGATAAGAGTCCTTCACCCTCCAAATTTGAAGACAGGCATTAATACAATTAATACAGCGAGTTGAGAAGAAGGAAAGGTTATCAAGGCATAAAAATGGTAAATAGAGGGACTAAAGGGCCAACACAGAGGGAGCAAGCTGGTGGCATTGCTAATGCTCGGTGTTTGCTTTTGAACTCAAGTGTGTTTGTCCAGCAAACATGCAACCCAGGCTAGCAGGTTTGCTGGGATATGTGAAAACATCTTAGCTGCAGGAAGCCAAAAACATCAATATTTCCCTCTAAACATGGGCAAAGTGAAAAGGTGTATAGAAAATAATCTCCAGTTACTAAGTTTTACTTGAATACCACCATCTGATGATAAAATCTTGAAATCCCAAGACTAAGAAAAACTTCACTGAGAATGGAGGTGAGAGCTCTAGCTATGAATCTAGTAGGCGGGCTTTTATCAGCTACTAACATTGTTCAATCAGCAGTCAAGGAGGCAAAGCAGAAATTAAGAGAAAATCCTTGCTGATCTCTCATGCAGCCACCCACAAAGATTGATTTGTGGCTCCACAAAGTGTAAACTACTGCTGCTATCCAGGTGAACAGAAGCATTACTGAGTTCAGGAAACAGAACTTAGGGCACCATAAAATAAAGCTGTCTTTTCCCAAGAGCTGTAGGGATCTGGGTCTAAAGATCATCAGCAATATGATTAAACGAAAACCACTGACCACAAGAAAAGAAAAATAGTTGATAAAACATTTCCCACTCTACTTAATCACAAAATATTTTATTAATTCTAACATCAGTTTCATCAGTCCAGCCCACAGAGACAAAACTTCAAAGGTGCTCACAAAAACATTCTATCTACATAGGTAAGGAAGACCTTGGAAGAACCCATACATGTATCTCCTACAGGCAGAAACCCTCCCCCCACACCCCAATCATATAAATAGGTATGCCAAAATGGCATGAGCTTATGGGGATTCAAAGAAAAGGCTGTACATTTTTTATAGAAAGCATGAACAAGAGCAAATAACAAAACACGTACCAAACTAATCAAAACAGATGCCAAGACTTCTGAGGGGAAAAAAGTTGAAATTTTCATCCTTCTACACATAATCATTCCTTCATCTGACAGAGGAAGAAACTCTTCTTACGAGCTGAAACCCTTCTAATCAACATGGTAATGCTGATAGTCAATGGCCAGATGCATTTCTATACACACATTCCTTGTCTGATTGGGCAAGGCAGATCCCACACTCCAGGGCACAAACTATCCTGTGCTGGTGCAGATTATTTTGTTTTCAACAGGACCATATGCAGGGTCAGCTCATCTAAAAGGTGTTCCCAGACAAAATGCAAGTTATACCCCAAAGACAATCCCTTTTTGTATTAATACTAGCTGCATTTCACAGAAATCACTTGCAAAACTGTTTTTAAAATATAATCATTTTTACATGAATTATTTAAAGACTTCAATTTTAGGATTAATTTTCTCTAACTATAATTTTGAAATTTTTACAAAAGAATTATTGGTAGGTCTTATCTTGAAAGTATTATGCACACTGAAAATCCACATAATGTTAAAGCTGGTTGTGCATTCTAGGACACAGCCACATAGCTGGGCCCATGTAAATCTAAATAGCTTTTCCCAAAGCATCACCTTTAAATATTGTTGCTTTCTGCCTTTAAGAAAGATGAGAAAGTCCCCATTTTACTCCCAAACCAATCTTAAGCATGATGAGAAACTTGTCAAGTGCCATGAACATCTAAAATTGTCAGAACATTTTAAGGTATAGTATTGTCAAGCATGTGCAATCTGTATGCATCTAGATTGTTATTTGTGCAAAAACATGCAGACATACTCTGCCTTTATGTGTAAACCCACACTGTCTTCAGTGAGGGCTTTGTGTGAGTCTCTTAGGGCAGAATATGGCCTACATTTACCTTCTTGGTATTTAAAAGACGAGAATAATTATTAACTACTATCTGTTAAAAAAACCAACTACAGAATGTTTTAGTAGAAAAATAAACATTTTAAGTTATTGGCAGATTAACATTAGTGCAATTATTTTGACTGCCTTACTTCCACACAGTAGATTAAAGAAATATATTGTCACTTGTGAAAAGAACCTAAGACACTTCAGAAGCAGTTATGTAGCTGCCAAATAAAGAGAAAAGGAGCAGATTCTGTGGCACTTCATGAAGCTCTCAATACTTAGTGCCTTCTAAAGCTCCAGGAAACGATATCCAAAGCTTGTCAACTAATTACAGTTCTTTCCATACAAAAATATATCACTTATGAGATTCTCAAAAGGCTGACTAACTGCTGACTAGAAAGAGAACATTTTTCTTTGTATTCAGCTATATCCTAGACAACATCTGTATCAACTTCTTTCTTTGAAGGACCATTTTTGGTAGTCCGAGTTGGTACAAGGTCGTAACATTGGTGCTGGGTTCCCATTGTGAGCGTTTGCCTCGGCTTGAATGCACTTCTGGGTTTGTGGGTGAAACAAGGTACCGTCCTACAAAAGACAGAAATAAAGTTTGTTTTTCAGGTCCCAAAATTGCAGACATCTCACTGTGTTTTAAAGCAACAGAAAACGTTTGAAACAAATAAATGTCCCACATATCCTTCCAATGGGGTTGTTCGGCAAAGCCTAACTTGAAGATGTCTGAAACTTTATCAGAAGATCCTGCTTTTAAACTTAGCTAAACTGACATCAACATTGCTTTAGAGTGACTCATGAAGTGACATCTCAGCATGTAAAAGATGTGCTAATATTTGCTTTCATTGCCTTTTGTTACTGGACCAAAATATGACAGAAAATAACTAAGCCAAGCACAAGCATAACCCATATTTATCAATTTATTGCACATTTTGTACATAAAAGATAAATATTGTTCATTAAAAATAAATGTTGGACATATTTTTTGCAAGAAATTCTCCTATCTCTTCATAGGGTATATTTTTGGTGGGAAAAGTAAAACTATCTAAGCATGCCCCTTGCCTGCAAGATGTGTGTGAAGTTCATTTCCTTTGCTGAAGGGCAGTACAGCTGCCTCAGAGTTGTAAGGTTTGACAGGCCTCCACAGTCAAATTCCCTAAAGAACACATTTTGAGCTCCAATCCAGGAGCACTGTCAGGATGGCAAGCTGCAAAAGGGCAGGGTAGCCAGCCATGGAGGACTGCCCTGATCTGAGGCCAGCCCCTTGGCCTGGGTGACACTCCCACATGCAAGCAGTCCCAAGGCCCCTGGCAGCTTTGAAAGCAAAATGCCAACGCCCTGTTTCTGAGTGTAACCCCGACTCCTGTGGAAATCTGCTCCTTCCGTCATCAGGAGTGTTTCACTTAATTGCATCCTGAGCCGCAGCTCCTGATGCCCAGCAGCGTGTGCTTGCTCACAGACTTGCTGACAGACTCAGCTGCTGAATTACTTTCCTGCTTCTGTCATGATAATTCAAATTTTAGAGTGGATTAATCACTATCCATCTCACTCATTTTTGACTTGGTGTCCGCAAGAACTCTGTTCTTGCCAAGCTGCTGGGAAGGCCGCTCAAATCTTTGATTATGCTCCATCCATAAGGACAGCTGTCTGACACTGCTAGGCACAAAGCAAAAGAAATGTGGTGCTGACACCTCACCCATCACTCGCCTTGAAAGATGCAGACCACAGGTGGCTTTGATTTAATGCAGCAGCAGAAAAGGAATTGGAACAGAGCAGTATGTTCAAATCACACACAGGCACAAAATGATCATGAGAAAGAATATTTAAAGTAATTCCTAAAGTCTCAGATGCTAAAATTAATGGTTAGGAATACAGTGGAAACCGATGCATTCCATAACTGTTTTCCGTTTTTTTCATTTTCACCATTTGAAACTTTCTGTTTTCTCGATTACTTCTTGAAGTGACTAAAGATCCTTCAATATATGTCATCTTAGGAATTAATGTATATGACCTTGAGCAATTTTGTTAAAAGTCAACATTAAAAATGAAACATCATTTATAAAGTCAACCTTTGAAACATTTTTATTTAGTAGTATCACTGTGAGCTTCAGTCTGGACTAGATTTAGGGAATGGACAGTAATTTTCATCTTATTTTTTGCAAGTTTGCCCTGCTACCTGTCACTGGTGGTAGTATTGAAGTGTGACATTTGTCAGCCATGCAGCCTGTAGATATTAGATGCATTATGCAGACACATTATGTAAATACACCATTTTGATATATTATGTGACCTTTTCCCTTAGCCAAATAACAACACTCCAGAACCTGACCAAAGCCATAATTTTTCATCCAGCTTTTTTTCTCTTAGGCATCCAGGACTTCTTTACAGATTCAAAACTACCAAACATAAGTTTTTCTAATATCCTGTAGTGGCAGCTGCTTAAAAGCTGGAAAGAGCACAAAGTAATGGTGGTGTGTGAAGTATTTGGGATCTATGGTAATATAAATACAGGGAAATAAGTCAATGAAAAGAGAGCAGAAGTAGGCCAGCCATATGACTGGCTGGGGAAGGGTCACAGTGAAGCACCTCAGTCTCAGGAGAAGACAGTAGGGGTGACATGCAAGAGAGAATGTTCCCAACCTCCTTGATGTCAACAAGGGTGCTTTCCTTCCTCTCATCTTCCTGTTCTTTATGACTGGAATACTCTTTGCCTGCTATCCTGTTTCTGTGTTCAGATATTAAAAGCCCTGGTAGCCTATGTCTCACAGAGACCTGTACCAGTGTTGTGGCCTGCACCATGTCTATGCAGTAAGATAAAAATATAGAAATTCAACAGTTCTCCTTCCACCCACTCCCAAAAAAACTAAACCCAAACCCAAGCAGGCAGACTTACTTCTCTGAAAATAAACTTCTGGTTTTCAGGAACACTGTGGGCATTTTCTTGACACAAGTACATCGTCAAGTAGTCAGTCCCCGAATCGACTGCTGCGCAGGCTTCTGGTTGTCGTGTGTTGTAACGTATTTCGTTATGGGATGTGTACTCGAAAAACTACAAACCCCAGAGAAGAAACAGAGGACAGCAGTCATTTCATATGTACACAGAGAGTATTTATAAAGAAGCATATACTAAGAGACTATAATTAGGCTCACAAACAAAAGTTGCTGCTGTGAAGGGAAATACTGCCAGAAATATTCAAGGGTCCTTAAGTTGTGCTGCTTATTATTTTACAGAAAATCAGTCTGATCACAGCACTGCTTTACTCTGGTAGCACTTGAAATGCATTAAATGCTGAACAAAAGTCCTGGAAAACAGGCATTCCATCATTAAAGAATTTCCAAAATTCAACTGTAATATTTGACTTTCACATTCTATGCCTCCCTTAAAAATAGGATAGGAAACAGTTTCTGGGATGACATTATGCCTTCTTAATTCAATTATCACAAAGTAATATTACTTTTAACGGAGGAGTTGCTTACTGCATAGTTCAAATGCAGCTTGATCCAGGTTCATTTCCAGTACTAAGGATGCATGGTGATGAACATTTTATTCTATAAAGTTTTAAGATACTATTTGAAGCAAGTTAGTTTCAGCTGCTTTTAATCATGAAAAAAAACTTCCTTAAAGACAATTTACTATCTTTAATTGTTGCACAATATTCTACAGAAGCGTTATGAACGTGCTCTGAAACTCCTAGCTTCTGTAGCAGCTACGGTTGAGGACTTCCTTAAAATTTTATACTTACCATGGACATTTGCCAACTTTTAGACTTCATTAAAGAGTGGCAGAGTTTGAGAGCTGTTTGTATTTAGCAAGCTTATAAATAATTTAGATGACTATAGTGCACGGATGTGTGTTTAGATCTGATTTAGATTATACTCAATAAAGTAGAGGGGAGTTTTTTAAACATCAGAAAATTGCTTATTACCCATAATACAGCTGCATTAGCAGAGACCAATAAAACAATGAGGGAGAGAGAGGAATCCTCTTTTATTTTATTTCTCCCCTGGACACTGTAAAGCTTTTCGAAGGGGCCTGTACCAATTGAGAAATGTATATACTTGAACTTACCACAGAAACATCCTTAACAACCATCAAGGCTAATAACCTTGAATGAGGAGTTGGAAATGGAGTTTCAGTATAAACAATACTGTGCGATTAGACTGATGCTGCCCACTGCATCACCCTGTGGAGCCTCATGGCTTTTCTTTTCCAGCAATGATTCAAGTGACCAACCCCCACCCCCAGAACTCACCTGTTTGCCACCATTCATTTGTGGTAAACCACAAAGGGAAATGAGTGTTTTGAGAAAGCAACATCAGGTTTGAAGTCTCCCTGCTGATGTAAGACCCCAGAGACCATGACCTATTGCTAAGATCTATTCCTACAATGTAGGTTGAACTACCTTTACATTTGCTTTCTGCAAAAAAAAAAAAAAAAAAATCTCATCAACAATAAAAGCAAATTGGGTGAATATTGGTCCTATTATTGTTATTATTATTATTTACCCTAATAGGCAGCAGCTATTACCTGGCCTTTAGGCTTCATTCCCAGGTTCAGTACCTGATTAAGACATGGAAAACTCACTGCTTTGGGCACCACAGTGAGCTACAGGGACCTGCATTTTAATCCAATGGCTTGTGAATAAAGAAAAAGCCTCAGTTCTGCTCAGTTGTGTGTGGATGGACATATTTTACAGCTGCCACTTCCACAAAGCCATATTTAGAGCCTTGCTCGTTAGAGGATTTATTAGATATAATAACTCTTTAGCAATTTGTATTATAAGTGAAAGCCTGCAAGCTGCTGACTGTACCAGATGCATCAAGAATAAATGGAGCAGATCAGAGCACTTCTTACTACTGATATCTTTCCTGAATGGTCTCTCAAGGACTTGCACCAGTTTCTGAAGAAGAGCAAGTAAAATGGTTCATTTCTGGATAACTTTAAGGAATGGGATTACAGTACTAGCAACCAGGCACTCCTGCCTTGTTGCCCAATGAACGTAATACAGTTCATTACCCTACACTGCTTCAAACTGAAGAAATACTTCAGGTTTTGGGCCTTTCCAAGCTCTGGTAATACAGGAAATAAATATCTTCCTCCTCAAAAGATTTTTTAGTGCTCTTTTCTTGCATTCTGTCAGCAGAAAGGAAGCATTTTCAAGCTAAGCCATGCCCCAATAACTAGTAGCCTTACTGCATTTCTTTCCTTCTGCAAATCAGTAGATTCCCTTAAGTGCTATTGGGAACTTAATGAGGCCTTTTTCCCAGTGTCCCTGGCTTCTGGACAATCTACAGGATTATGCCTCAGCTGCATCAGTGTCCCTCTGGTACTGGCACCAGCAGCAGATTTTGGCTACCTCACTGGACCCTGAAACACTCTCATCCTTCTCTGTGCCTGGCTACTGTTGTTTTGCATGCAGGAAAATGCTTGCATTTGATGGGTAGAACCAGCAGAGAGGTTACCAGGTCTGATATTCTTTTCTGCTGAAAACCCAAAGGCTTTGCTAACTTCTGTGTTTCCCTCTTGCTATTTATGCCAAAGGTTATCAGCTCCAAAACGGGATTCTGGGAAGAACACTGCCAGTCAGTGTTTTCCCATCCTCTTATCACAGCAGGTTGATTTCTTGCCATCACATATTGGTGCCCTCTGTACTGCTTCCCAGCCATACCCAGAAGAACACTTTACTGGTGCTTAATTTCAAAGTCTTTCGTTCTCATCTGTGGGACAGACACTCCCACAAAACATAAGCAGCCTGAGGTACAAGCAATGAGAAGCCAGTGTTTTGTGCATTTCCTGCCTCTCTTCCATATACACTAAGCTCTTAACACTGCAGTGTTATCCTCAACTTCTTGTGATGAGAGAACATGATGACTTTAAAGAACCTCCAGTTAGTTTTCTTATGCTCATACAAAAGGAGTAAAGGAAACCCTCCCAATTAGACCATGGACTCAAGGAAGAAGAGCAACAAATTACCAGGAACTTTAGTTTTCTGAGAGTGGTTTTATTCACTGAGATGTTAAACAGGAAGAGATGCTGGACATTATAAATAACCAAGAGCACAGAGTTCTCTCCTCTCAGTGCAGTGCACACAGATATTCAGAGGTCACTAAGTGGAGACCTGTTTCCAGGGAAGAGTTTTGCAGCTGTCCCTACACAGACATACACCTGCCTGTGGTGAGGGACAAGAAACTAGAGCAAAACCTGGAATGAGGGTTTGCTGCTAAAGCTCTATATATGTAATGAGTGGAGTGATGAGAACAAACTCAAGGAGAAAAGGCAGGAAGAGTTTGGGATTAGGACGGCGGATTCCCTTCCAAGGGCCAAAGAGAAGTTAAGGGCTGCCTGTTGTCAGTAAACATCTCTGAAACTCTGTGGTTGTTGATACTGGAGGATGACCAAACCGTGCCACGATAATTTCATCAGCAGAGAATGATGGATGTAAATGTGGAAGATTTGACTGTTTTGGTCCTGACAGTGTCACCTGTTAAGGAATTCACACCACAAGGAACAAACAGCCTGCTACCTTTTCAGAATGGCTGTCAAGAAGGTGGTGGGATGGGAAAGAAATGGAGAGAAGCATTCTGCTGCTAGGTTTCACAACTATTTGTGAGTCAGAAAAGGGAGCTGCAAGTCCAGCAACCCCAACTCCATTTCCCATCTCACTTGTGTTTCTACACCTTGTTTTATTTCAGCCTTCCTCTGTTCCCCCACCCACAACTCTTCCTGCTGTCCATTTATTCTCTTGCAACTACTTTTCACCCCTACTCACACCCCCCTTTGCCAACTGGTATCTCAGCTCCCACATTCAGAAACCCTGCCCCTTTGCACTAAAATGCTCTCTAGTGACTCTGCTTGGTTCATTCCCTGTCCTATTCTTTCCTCTATGACACATGCCCTGCTCATGGCCTGTTGCTCAACCTCTGTCCCAAACTACTACTGCCCTTTGTCACCTTGGCTCTTTCTCCCTGGCACCTGCCAGCCCTCCCTTGCATTTTGCCCATTTCACTAATCTTGTTTTACCCATTTCCTGTGTTTGGCCTTCCCTCCTCAGGCTCTGCAGTTCTCTTGAGTCATCTCATATTTTCCTTTATTGGTTTATATTGCAGTCAAGTGGTTTCTCCATTTCTCCTTCCTCCTCCTGCTTGGATGCCAGCAGAGGGAGCGGTTTGCACAGTTCCGAGAGTGTCGCTGCTTCCAGCCTGGCACCTGCTGCCACAGGTACACGGATGCATGGCACCATCAGCAGAGATGGAACAGCATTAATACCCAGTGATGTGATATCTTGCAGTAAATTCAGTTAATCTCTTAGTGCTAGCTAAACAAAGGATAACTGTAAAAATGTCATCTCATGACAATTCATCTCTCAATTGTACTTCTGCTTTCACCTTTTATCCTATGTCTTTATTCTTTCTTGGGGAAAGGGATAAAATTTAAGCTAACTCTTTTTGCTTAGAGAAATGCAAAAAAATGCAACCCCTTCCTCTCCTCTCTGTAATCTGCAATAGAAGGAAAAATAAATCTATAAATACCTTTGGCATGTTAGTATGTAATCCTATACATTAAATGCTTCTTAATCTACAAAAGCAATCGGTGTACCTTACAAGAAAGTGACTTGACTGGGTTATCTGATTATTGAGTTCTCTTCTACATAGATCTATAGAAGTATTCTTAACTTGGGCATGAATCTGAACTGAAGGAGTAAAAGGTGTGAGGTGGGGCTTAGCATAATCAGCCTACATTCATCTGTCATTTGGCTTTTATGGTACAAGATTCATCCCCTGCCTTGCCCTGCATCTTGGCCTTAAGGGCAAAACTTAAGACATGAACCAGACATGAGCTAATAAATAATACTAAATAATAGTTATAATACTTTAGGCAATAAACTTGCTATTAGCAACAAATATATTTCTTTTTAAGATCTGAGGTACATTGTTTTTTTCTTTCCCCTTTCTCATGTAAAGTGCAATTCTTATTAGAAGCTTTCTCCTCAATACAGACTTGTTTTACACTCCTTGAGCTTTTATGTTGTTTTTTTTTTAAAGCAGATTTCAGAACAATAGCAGATACACTGATTAACTGGCACATCTCTGGTTTCTTTTCAAACTTTGTTTTCCCTTTTTTCCTTTTTCCAAACAATCCTAACTGAATGTTTGGATTAATTTCTATTTGAAAAGGACCTAAACAGTCAAGTCAGCCAAGCTGTCGCAGGGTTATGTACAAGAGGTCCCACAAGACCTTTGGTACTCAGTACTGATGAGACCATATGACAAGTACTGTGTTTACTCTAATCTGGGTTAGAAGCCAAAAATCAAGATAAACAGGCAAATACATGCCCCACATCAAACACCAAACTTAATTTCTGGAAGTGGTCACTCAAAACTATGCAAAACAGCCATTCTAGCTTGGCACACGGTGCCCCACAACACTTTTACCATGGCATTATGCAGAGAGGCTTATGGGCATAATACAAACCACTGTAGGACACAGTTTCAGCCAACATAGAGAAAAAAAACAGTATTTTCAGCTTCAGAAGTTAAAAACAAAATAGCAAGAATGAAAGTGTTAAAGAGAACCCCTGCTCTCCTGGACTGTGGAGCCCAAGCCCAGGAGGACATTTCTGTAGAAGGACAGGAGAAGATGTGGTCCAAAACCTCTTGGGTAGTTAGACAAGCACCATGTGGAAGACACATGATGACAGACAGGTGGAACTAGGTGAGGTTTCCAATTTTATTAAAGGCTTTAGAGGCATGGACAGACAAAAGTTCAGAGGGGTTTTGGAGATGAGTGAACACTGGCCTATGAGCACTATTGCTGCACTGATTGCTATTAACCCCTGCTAATGACATCTGTGGAAAGGCATAATAAAGGTATGCACAAATTCCCTGGGCTGGGTAGACACATCCTCAGAATGAGGAAAATCTGAGCTAAAGATACATCAAAACAAAAAGCATTTAGTGCAAGAATCAAAACTCAAACTAAGATGACCTGACTGTGGCAACACATTCTCTCAGCCCTATTCCAATAACTTTACCATACTTCCTTACATTATAAACATAAGTGCCAGTCAAAATGAAAATAAAACATTATTCTTACCTGATTTTGTCCCATGCCATGGCATGGGTAGAGTATGACCCTCTGTCCAGTTACTTGATGTTCATTCTTAGGGTTATAATCGAAGCAGAAGTTTTCCATTCCTCTATTCTTTAGCTAATCAAAAAAAAGAATATTTAAAACATCAGTCTAAAGTAAGGAAGATATTCTGTAGTCACTCTACACCCATCTTGCTGGGCTCTGAGATCCATCCCAAAGCTGGTGCAAATCAACTGGAATAGATCAAAGGGACGCAATGGTAACATCTCTGACTAATTTGAAATAAAACTGCACCGTCTTGATTTTGAGGACTGAAGCAGCCAGACACAATGGCTTCCCCTAGGAATGACACTGTGTTCCAATGTATTTGCAAACGAAGTGGGTAGAAACTATGAAAAACTGTGTTAAAGCCCAACAAGCCAGCAACTCATGCAGAACAAAAGAGTCTGCCATGTCTTTTTCCCTCAGGACCTACTTGTTCAATTTTTTTATGAAGAGATGATTACATACTTTTCTCAGTTTGTCAAATGGGAAACATTAGGAGGATTTGTTCTCAAAAGGACTCCAGTACCCTCTTGAGGCAGAACAAGAAGACAGATTTTAGTATCAGAAATCTTGAAAGTGGGCAATATATATCTTTGGAGACACTAGGTGTGATATTGAATGTTCTTTACTCATTTTGCTGACCTCTGACAGAAGAGGTGCACAACTTTTAGATTAGATTTTAAAATATTATGTTAGCTAATTTTAAAAACAACAGGCTAGTTAACAAGGATTTGCATTTAAATATTCAGGAGGCAAAAGTAACTGAAAATAAGTTACACAATCACATAACAACCACTGATTCCTAGTATTAGCCACATAACCAAATTTGAAATTACACAGAACAGAACAGGTTCTGTAAACAAGAAGCTGAATGCCTCTGTTACTGAGTGTAATTATATCACAGATAAAAAGAATAAAGCAGAGTAAATCTCAGAAGAGTTAGTTCAGCAAGGTGTAATTTCACTGCTCTTCCCTAGGCATGATAATCATATCCCGAGTTCTTAATGTGGAAAATGAGCGGACACACAGGGATTGCAGGCAGCTAAAACTAAACAAACAAGACAAACCCTACAGGGCCTAAACCCACCACAGAGCAAACCACACAAGTTGGAAAATTAAACACTTGTGTTCTATATATGTTTGCTTTGCCAACTTATACTTTTAGTGCAACCCAACATCTTCTTTTCAGTGCTTTGTGCTCACTCCCACATGAGACTACTGCCACCCTCCTTGAACAGTCAAAAGAAAACATTTTGCTTACCTTCCTAATGGGAGACAAGAGTTACACTTAAAAAAACAGGAAAGAGAAGCGTCTTACACAGATTATTGTTAACACTGCCATGGAACTACGTAAGCTAAACAATAAGCTTCTCATGTTTCTACATTCTACATCAGGAAATACCAACTTAAAAGTCATAACCACTTAAAATGGTAATTTTATCTCTACAGTTGTTGTCAGCAGCTGTCTTCAGGACCAGAGGGTCTCCCATTAGTATGTTTAATAACATATGACTCTCCCAGACTGTCTACTGGCTCCAAGGGAAGCAAAACCCTTCTCCATGGTGCCCTTCCTGGCACCCAATGACTTCACTAGTGCTCTTTGCCATCAGCCCCTGGGACATGCTCGAAAGTGAGCTCCCTTTTGGGAAATTTTAAATAATCCACTCAAAAATGCCCTACACCACCAGAACTACAGTAACTCTCTGATGCATGTTACTCAATGCCCAAATACACAAAACAAAAGATGTGTAAAAGCTTACTAAACTTAAGATTCATTTCAGATGGCTGGAAAATGAGGCTGTCCTCCAGGATGTTACCATGTACATTCTCTCCTTTTTCATGCATAAATGCTTGTGACACATGCAGACATCTTCCTACAAATACATGGTCCTTATGGTTCACCTGGTTCTTTTGTTTTGTTAGACATTGGTAGATATGCCCACACTTCATCAGGAAGCCCAATAGGTATTCAAGACCTAATTAGTAGGAATAATATATTCTAAGCTTTTAAATTACCTGATCTGAAATGACACAGAAAATTTTGAAAATCTGACTGCAGTGCCATTTATTAAAAAAACCCTAAAAAAACATAAAACCGCAAACCTGCCCTCTGTTCCAAGGCAGAAAAAAAGTATGAGAAAATTTGTGAAATATTTTTCTCTTGTTAAATGAGAATATACAGTTTAAGTTTCTTTTATGTGCAAGAGCTCTATCAAAACAGTGATCATACACTCATTTCTGAAGCTATGTTTATTCCCACATCCACCATAAACAAGTCATGCAATAAGAACAAAATTTTCTCTGTGACTTACCTTAGTTCCTTTGCAGAATGCTGCGTTAGAGAAACAGAAGCAAAAAAAATATTGATCACCTTGCCACTGAAACATGCTGTTCCGATCTAAAACAATGTACCCATGCAGGACTATTGGCTGTTGTTTTTTAAAGCATTTGCCTCTTATTGAAACAATGCTGGTGTCACTCTACATGCCATTTAATTACCACTGTTTGGAGGCTGAGATAGGTAATAAACTCCAGCTACCGAGATATTCACCATAGACCTTAACCCTCACTACTAGGAGATATTTAAATCTATTGTTTCCTAATACCTGGACACTTGCATGTAACTACATAATACAGATGGCATTCTATGCATAATTCCTAGTTTAGGCTTGCATTTTTTTTTTAAGATAAAGTCCATTGTAAATGAACCATCAACAACAGATTTTTAACATTAAAACTTCATGACATTAGTTTATAAGTACGGCCAATGGAGCACTGCCAGCCTTTCTCTACATCCACAAAATAGATCAGAATCCTCTTTATTCTGCCAGTGGCAGTGGTGCTGATCTATTAGTGATATGGACAAATGTGTCCCATGTGGGACGCAGTAATATATGAATTTGCAGCGAGCCAAACAGCTTTACTGGTACCGATCAAACATCAGCTGCTACCTCAGAGGTAATCCAAGCAGTCACAGGGAATGATTCCTGAGTCAATGCTGTTTTCATATCACCTGCTAACTTCTTAAGGGCAATGCTGAAAAGGGCTTACAATACTGATGATTAAAATCCTCTGAAGGAAGGTGACACACTGCTGTCAGACCAATTGGCTCACCCCAGCAAGTCCAGATCTCCCTGGGAAGCTCAAAGATGTATAAGCATGTGGTTCAAGCAATGCTGTGTTTGCTACCAAACACTTGAATTTCTCCCACTTCCTTTTAAAAAGCCTCTCCTTAGCTTTCAGAGGCTGTACAGCCAACCAAGTGGTGCATATTTTCCTGTGATGGGCATAAGGTCTCCAGGTCTAGTCAGTCCTAATCTTGGCTACCAATTCAACCTCAAGTGGCAGCTCTACAAATTGGATTATAATGCAGTTTTAGAGGTATACCCTAGAGAATGGTCTCTAATACCTCTTAGAACTTGGAGCACCAGTCATGCAATAATATCTTTGATTAAGTAATTTAAACCACATAGCTCTCTTCTTCTGTGCAAGCCTGTCCATATATATCACCTGTTCTTTAGATAATTTAAATAATGGTCTCTTTCATGTTTCAGCAAAACAAAATTCTTCTCAGTTTTAAAGGCATAGTTTAAGATTTTCCTTCCAATTTTATTTAAGATTATATCTAGTCTAAATTAAAAGAAAATTATGACTGAGTGCTTGGAAATGAAGATGAGATGGTCTTGGAGGAAAATGGGGAAGGAAGCTGTCAAAAGAAAAATTCAAGTTTTTGATTTCCCAACTGGTTCAGTCAGTGACAGATGCCTTTACAGATACAAGGCAGAGAGAGAGACCAGACAGAAAGTCACAACACAAGACATCTATCAGCTTGGCTGCTTTACATTCAGCTGAAAGAAATCTCAGCTACAAACTGAGAAGAACAAAGAAAAACTTATGTCAGAACATAGTATAGTCTCATTGCCAGGTGATCAAATATACAGAAAATTAGAGTGAAATCCTGATTTTCGTGCCACCACTGTTTTTTAAAAGCAATCTTGATGTCAAATTTAAAGCCAAATTCACTGACTGACCATATCTTTATCCTTGGATATGCATGGATAGATGCCAGCCATATGTAACACACACACCTTAGAAGAGAGAAGAGCCCTGACCATTCCCTTTGCAGCTGTGCCTTCCCACAGTCGCAGGTAACATGAAAAGATCACGGAGCTGCCCATTCTTCATCCAGCTGCACAGTGCAGCGGTGTCACCACACTAATACTGAACACCAGCTGGCACAAAGCTCTTCCTACAGACGCCCACACCATCCCTTTCCAGGCTAGTTGGGATTGGTAAACTGACCAAGTCTGTGCTGTCTCATGGGCAATCTGTGCAGAGCTGGGGCTCAAGTCTTGCTGCAATTTCACACCTACTTACTGATACATACTCTGCCAGTAAAGGCATGCTCAAGGATGGCCAAATCAAATGCTATGTCAGAAAAAGATACATCAGTGTGCTACACAAGAGCCTAAAAGGTGTTATCAGCCTTTCCAGAACTGCTGACATTTTATTATTTTAACCCACTGAGTGTCTACCAGTTTTATTTCCTCCTGCCACCCAAAGAAACTATTCAAGTCAGAAGGCTCGTGTCCCAAAGCATTCCAAAGCTGCATGAAGCCCAAAGAGAAGCAAGAAGATACTTATCTAATTTATAGGTATCAGGCAGTCTGCAGGAATGCAATCATAGGCAAAAAGGTTTATAATGTTTAAGTAAAGTTTTAGGCAGGTAACTTTTTAGACAACCAAGCATAGCATGGATATTTTTATCTATGTATCAAGAAAAAATATGTAGCATAAGAAGCTGCTTGTCTGTGCACAGCACAGAATGCTGGCCAGTAATTCTTGACTCCATTTGAATAATGCATGGCTGACTTACGGGTAATCTTAGAAATATTTTCAACTTTGGTTCAAAAGTAAAAAGATTTTTAATGAAGGTAAAAATCTCCATATTCCCTTGTATTCTCTTTGAACAATTAAATAGCCTCGCACTAAGTTGAGCTGTTATCAAAGCTGACATTTTTAAACACAGTGTTTTTGTGAACCAGAAAAGCACTACACAGCTAAGGCGGGAGTAAAGAACACCACCAGTGATTCATTGAAGCTAGCAGATGGGACTCAACATCCACAAATCAGCTGAATCAGTAGGTGTCGTTTCTGCACTCTCAGTTTCTCAGAGTACAACCATATTTCCATCACATTTTAAATTCTTCCTCCCCCCAAAAAATGGTGCATTCTCATTATGCTCACAACTAGATGACAGCATTTATGAATTGTTTTAAGAGAAATATATAGAGCACACCTAAATTACACTCTAGATACCTCAATCAGCTCTGAACAAGAGTTATTATTTCTAGGTACTGTCAACCCCTTGCCTGAAGATGACAATTAAATTATAAAAGAAGCTGCACAAATCCCTTTTCTTCCCTGGGAGGCTGAGGCCCTATCACTGGCACCAGTCTAACCCTTTCTTTTAGAGGGAGAAGGATGGAGGTGGAAGGAAGGATAAAACTCCTGAAATGCTCCAGGAAGGTAAGTCTTATAATACCTCACTGCTTCAACTGTCTCAGACCTTGTCAGTAGCAATCCAGCACAAAAGAGCAAAAACTGAACCAATGTTGTACTGGGGTTTATTCAAGGTACTGGATAATACCTTTCACACCAGTGATCACACAGAGATACCACCTCTCCCACAAGCTCCAAGACAAATGGAGGAGGGTGGAAATTCTCCCAGAAGCTCCCAAGGGCTTTTCTGACAACTGCTGCCCTCCCTGTGGAAACTCCCACAGGTCCCCAGGGGAAGCCACAGCATTTCCACATTAGGATCTTTTTCATTCAACAAGTTATGAAGCTATTAGGGCAGACTGTGGGGAGACTTGGTTCCTGAATGCTTTGTATGTCCACAGAGATCAGATTTTTTTTTTTTTTCCCTTTTCCTGAAGGAGATTCAGCAGAGGCTGAGTAACTGAAGGGCAGATGGCAGCAAGACAAGGGCTGGATGTGATGCAGCAGCATGGGAATGCAGCTTAGCTGGATCTGCAGAGCGATCCAGTTACCAGCAAAAGTACTTTCAAGTCAATGTGGCATTTGGTAATCAGGAAGGTATTTGATATATCTTTGCCTGGTGGAAAGGTGCAGTTTTGTGTTCCTAACATGCAGCAGGTATCTGGTGATCTTTCAGAGGAAACAGGTATTTGCTGCCTCATCTCTGCCTTCATCCCTTCCAGATAAGATTACTGTAATGTGATACACACGGAGCTATAGTTTATATTTATTTGTAAGCTGCAAAAAGCATAAAGAGCTGACAACTCTTAAAAGAGAAGAGGATTCTGATACTGAACCCATTGTCTGTGCCCTTGCTGGTCTAAAATTACCTCCAGATTAAAAATTAACATGTTAGTTTAATACACAGAATCCCCTATGATCTGGAAGCACTTAGGGGCAGCTCTATTTCCCATCACCAGAGCATCATAGTTTTCATCAGATAAAATGTACAAACATATTTTTCAAAGCACACTCTTTTTCTTTTTAATTCAACAAGTAAAATAAAACACTTTACTGTTCTCTTTTTTTTGTTATGCAATGTTTCAAGAAATAAAAAGCTCATCCTTTGCTGCCTTTAACAATCCCAAGATGTCACTTAGAAGGAGTAATTTACAGCAACATTACCTGTTCTCCTATTGTGTCACAGAACTCCTTAATAAACAGCATTCCCTTTAAATAAAGATTCTGATAGAAACCACATTTTAAAGCTTACCAATTTTAACTGAATTCTACCAAAATCCCAAACTGATTTAAGCACAAAAACACCTTCACACTGACTTGGTAGGAGAGCTCAGAGAACTGTAAGTAGGCCCCCTTCTCAGCAGTCACATACCATTCCAAAGAATCCTGGTCTGTCCTCAGGTACGTGAAGTTCTGGATACACGTTCTCCAAAAACCATTTGAAGTCCTTACATTTCAGCTTCTCTCGTAGAAGTCTCCTTTCTGTCACATCTCCATATGGTTCCTGGGGGGAAAAAAAGGAAAAAAAAAATAAAAACAGAGATAGAAAAAGAAGAAAAGAAAGAAGAAAAAAAGATATGAAAAAAAAAAAATCCAGAACAGATGCTCTCTTTTAAATTATCTGTATACATTATTAGGAACCGTATGCTACAGTGATGAGTAGGACTTCTAGCCAGGAAAAATCACCATGTTTGGGTGCTGGATTTGATTTCATTATCCTTACATTTGTTAAATGTTGACAAAAAAGAATTGGAACTGTGCATGTCAAACTTTAAAATATTCTAGAAGACAGTTTGTCTGAGAAAACTCCCTGAATCTGGAAGTGAGGAAGCCCTTGAATATATAGACTGAGAAGGCGTACTGGAAAATAAAACTTCCTTTAGATAGATAATTGAAAATCTCCAAAACAGTGAATAAATCTTGAGGATTTTAAATTATACCACTATCCATTTGCAAATTACCTGTACAGTTTTACACTTAAGTGATGAAATTTGTAAAATCTGCTAATGCATCCTTTGAACTTCATCATTTTGGGGGGTGGGGAGTATGAAATCTTAAACCTCCAGAGAAAAGCTTTCATTGCAGACTTTTCCCTGTCTATGGATTGGAGCAGGGTTCATGTCTTTTTATGTCTGTCTTCAAAATGCTATCTTTATATTGATGAGGAACTTCAGATAGTCAGGCATGAGATAGTTTGCAGCCCCCAGATTTTTACAGGTCACTTGATGCACTCTTTCATCAAACCACAAATGTATTTGCATTTCTCAAAGCTGTGGAAATACCACTGAAAACACAAAGCAGATGTAAAGTAGAGGCAGAGATGCCTCTTTGAATAAACAAACAGCGTGACATATTAGCTCTGAGGTCTGAACATTAATCTTGAAGTGAAGCTTCATGGAACCAATTTTTGCAGCCATCACATCAATCATTTTCCTGTTATTTCCTACGGAACTGAATATCTAGGTTTGATGAAGTAAAAAGGTCTGAACTCAACTGCTGCAACAAGTGGTGCACAGAGTATGGAAACCAAAGTTCATCGGCAGCGACTTTGATATGGGGAAAAATAACCCTCGTGAGTTTCAGCATTATGTCCACTGTGTTACAATAAGCCAATGCATGAAACTTCCAGTACTAACACACAAATACCCTTTAAAGTTAAAGCTCTGTCATTACTGACATAAGATGCCCAGCACTTTACAAGAAAAATTGTCAGTGTTTATTGCTCCTTTTGTGTATGACAAGCCGAAATCAGCCTGGCGTTGCCTATGGGCGAATCCCATATTTCTCTCCAAGTCAGACTCCGATAATAAAACCTAAATGGCTTTTATGATGTTAAAGTAAACCAATTATTACAAATGTGTGGACTATAATAATCTAATTACCCAATTTCATTCAAACAAACACAAGATGAAAGCTAACCAAATTCATCTTCTCCAGCATCCTCCAGTGTATCTTTTAAAAGGCTCGTGTTTGCAAGAGCAGTTTTCCCCTGCTGTGTCTATTGGGGTCAGCCACTCAAATGACTGGGGGGCTCCCTGTGCCCCACACCAGTCCCTCAGGTCTAATCCAGGCAGCCAGAGGTGGATGCCCAGCAGCCCATCCCAGGCACAAAACCAGAAAGGCAGTGTTTAGAAAACTTTGCATGCAAAAAGATCATGCTGGGGAGATCAGGCACATCCAGAAACAAGGAACCGCAGACAATGATTTCTTTGGGGCCTGGATTTTGGACCTTGTGACAGAGGTTCATTTAATTCATTTCTAGACACTGCAAAGACATTTCAGTGTTACTGTTTTCCAGCCTTCAGGCCCCTTACAATAAATACATCCAAGTTATGAATTTCCAAACTGCTTTACTGTTTTGACATATTCCATTTTCACAGTAATAATCTCCTGAAAAATTCTGCAACCAATGAACTTGTATTTTAATTTCAAGGAAAATAAAAACATTAACTTAAAAGAACATCCAAAACCAACAGAACTGATATTTGAAACATTTTATTAGGAACATTTTCATCTGAGTTCCCATGACTGATTTTAATTAATTTAATCTTTTCAACATTGACTTTGGTTTCCGTTTGTTTTATTTTTTTTTAACTAAATATGGTGCAGCAGTAAATCAAACAGAAAAATCTGTTTTGTTTTACATCAGTTCAAAGTTTTCCAATTACCACAAGACAGGTCATTTTGCTAAATATTATTACCATACTGTCCACCTGAAGGTCTACTGTCCATTGAAAATGGTTGATTTGCATTCATTAATTGTGTAATTCTTATTGAGAGTCCTGTATCTATCAGCCATTTCACATTTCAGGCTAAACAACTCCTCCTTGCTTTGATGACCCCACTTCACAGTATTCTTTCATTTCTTCATTTAATATTGACATAGATTGGGCCACCTCGTACTCTTAAGGAATTTTTAATTATTTCCACGGAATTAAAAATTTTACACTTATTCTATGCCCGGGAAAAAACTTTCATAAGGAGTAAGAAATGAGCATAAACAGGACTTCATGTTAAATATTAGCTTAGTCAACAGTTAGTAGGTTGAAAACAAATTCTACTGAAATTCCAGGAGCAATGGAGTCGAACTCACCAGGCGAGCGTGTGGGTTTCGGTGGTAATAAAGTTGTTTGTATTCATCCATCCACACCTCAGCCGCACGCACGCTGTTTGCCAGAGCTTTGGAGCGTGAGTATGGAGCTTGTTTGGGGAAAACGTGACCTACATGGGAGCAAGGATGGATCTCAAGACTTCCTCCACACTGCCATATCTGAGCAAAGAATTGACATTGTGTGTATCATTAATTTGAGTCTTTTGCAAGCTCAAGGATATAGTAAAAATAAGACATAAGAATTACAATAAGATAATAGATATAGTAAGAATAGAACCGTCTCAAGAATACCACACCATACTACAAGTAACACATACAATAATTTTCTGTCTATTTGATGACTGAACTGGATAAAATCACATCCTTGTTGCTCTTAATAATTTTCTCTGAGTTCACAAGGAGATTACCACATTTCTAGTTTTATCTGGAGAGCAATATTCCTTTCTTAGTTTTATTTTCTCATGGTAAGATGTGATCTACAACATAAGTTATGCAGGCACTGTTGAAAAATAGAAAAAGAAAAAAGAAGCATGTTTCTTTTCCAAATTAACCATGTAAATAACTATTTTGAAAGAAACCAGTAGCTGATAACTAATTCTTACCAGAAATCTATAGATCTATATATAATCTATATATTCTATTGGAAAGCTGACTTGCCAAAATGGGTAAGCTTGTTGTATCATCAAAGAACAGTCAGTTGTATTCCCATTTGTACATTCACCAATCTAGACGGGAGGCATAGGTGCCTGGTGATAAAATCTCACTAACCTTTTCCAGTGGAAAGCTGGGAAAGGTACCCCAGACACAACACACAAAAATAAAAAGCGAAGTACTTCTATGACTTATGGTGGTCCACCCAACGACAATGAAATAGCCTCCCTTATCTAAACCAATATTCCTGCTTGATGCCAAGGAAGTACTTGGACCTGGATGTGGGACTGGCAGAACCCTACAAACCATCACTCTGCCCCTGTGCTCATGGCTCCTGCCTCTCTGGCTCCCCAGGTCAGGAAATGTACAGCCCATGATTTAAAGCCCAGAAACAACCATCAGGAAGCATCCATTAGCCTCAGCACTCTGTACACATTCTTGTAATTACATTCTTCTCCTCTGGAAACCAAGGACCTTTGGCAGTTCATCTACACAGCCACTTTCCCATCACCCATTCTGATCTCAAGTTTGATTATGTGAAAGGAAAGCACAGCTAGGTATTTCCTATTCAAGATGGTGTGTGACCACAACACGGCAGATGCCCTGTTTCTGAAGGGTGCCTGAAACAAGGCTTCTGAAATTTAGTCAGATGGGAGGAAGGTGGGATATGTTGCTCTGCTTGAACTAACTTGAGGCTGTCACCAATGACTCTGATAGACTTTCCATAAAAGATTTAGAATTCTCCTCATGTATTCAACCATGCATAAGTGGCAGCTCATCATTCCTTTGTAAATGGAAGACAAAGGAAATTAGCTGGGATAGGCTTAAGGGGTAGAGGTTTGCTCCCTGACAATCTTCTTTTATAAGACATACATTTTTAATGACATGTTATTCAAATGAACACAGCAGAAGTGAAAGATAGGAGGTAGCAAACAAAAGCTCTGCTGCTAACAGTGTCAAAAGATCAGTGGTGGGACTTTTCCCACCTCTCTCTCTTGGAGTTTTAGGCATCTAAAAGCTAAAGGTTTTCAGCTCATGCAAGATAGGAGTTGATTCTAGACTGCTAACTTTTAGGGGTTTTTTAAAGTTACTTAGAATTTCTCTCAAATTTATTCATTTGGAAATCAATGAGTATCATCTCCATTGATTTGGTTTTGGATAAAAACATGGAATTTTATGCATGGCACAATACTGTGATTAATTATCAAAGTATAAGCACTCTAATACATATGTTTACTTTTAAAACAGAGAGTTTCCTTCCTTATATAGGTAACTCATTATTCAGCTGTAGGGAGTACTGGATAATTGTTACTTCCTGGATTTAAAATCTTCATTTCTTGTTTTTCAGGTGAGGTTTCTCTCCTCTTTTTTGCTGCTTTTCAGGGAAGCAGTATATTTGTCATTTGGACAAAGATGATTAAAGGAATTATACAAAAATCTAGAATTCTGTACTGATTTTGAACAATTTGCAGATTTTCTTAGATAAGTTACTCTACTGCCATTTTCAAAGCTGCTATGAAACTACCTACTTTCATTTTACAACCTCCTTTTTTGAGATTTATTTCAAAACAATGTTTTTCATAATTATTATTTCTACATTCAAGATTATTTTTTAAAGCTGCAATTTACCATTCAAGATCTGTCAGCAAATATTAAGAGCCATAAGTTTATTAGTTTAACAATTCCCAATATTGTAGTCCATAAAAGACTTTTTAATTAGTCTTTATTGTTTAGATCAATCTACTTTTAAATAAGATATTAGAAACAGATGATAAAGACTATTGAAATGTTAAGAAGGAAGCACATGCTTCAGCTCTTCCATGATAAAGTTTGATTTCAAAGAAATGAAACAAACTGACCATACCTCTGTTAAATTGATGACAAAAAGAGAATTCCATAACAGCTGAAATTTTAATAATTAAAGCTCTCTAAAAAATAACTGTAGGTTGCTAAGCAATGCTCATTAAATTCTAAGTATGTCATAAAAACAGTACAAAAATTATCTTGTCTTCCTATTGCAAAAGAAAATTGAATATACTTCAGCTAAACAATTCCTAAGAAGGTTTACTCACTTTCATTTTAATGGAAAAAATTATGACCTCTATATAAAATCAGGTACAAATAAACAGCCACAAAATAAAGCGAGGAATTTAATAGAGAAACTAAAGTTGATTACTAAATGCTAAATAAGTGGCTCTGCAGAAGATTCTCCATAACTCTAGTTCAACCTTCTATAACAGAAAAGCACGTAAGGTTTCAAGCATATTTTGCAAGCTCACGTACATGCAGATCAGTTACTGGGTTTACTAGGTCTGGATAACTCACAGCTCTCATTATCAAAGCACATATTTTTCCTTCACTTCAACAGGAAAACAAGGTGACATTCCTCTTTTTACTTTCACTTTCATCTTGATGCATGCAGACTATCGGCATATTTTCTTTTGTTTCCAGAGATAGATGGTGGCATTATGAAAACCTATAGAAAATTTTCAGAATCTCACCTTGGGATCACCATCCCTGCCACGATCTCTGGACAACTGACCTTGTGTTGGGTCAATGAATGCTAAAGAATAAAAGCGCTACCAGCTCATTCTAACATTTTAAGACTATCAGGAAGAAATAAAAAAAAAAAAAAACCATAAAAAGAATGCTACATCTTAAAAAAAGGGCAAAATGTGGGAAATCCTACATTTCTGCTGCTTTCTCTCTGCTACAATTTTTTCTTGATGACTCGTGGCCAAGCCCCCTGTGTGGCACTCATGCACAATCTGCTGGAAGCTGGGTGGGTGGAGAGGCACCCCAGACACATTGACCCACCCTGGCTGCTCTCAATGCAAGACAGAGTTCCAGAGCCAGGCAAAAAGAAACAGTACAAAAATACTGGCAAAGAGAAGTGTTCTGAGGCATATCATCCAGGCCAGTGGGCAGTAACATTTCTGAGAAGAAAGGCCTTTTTGCACATGGTAGGCTGAAGGACAGACCACGGACATATTAAACCTTGGTCCAGAAACAAACTTAGGTTGCAGTGCCACTTGCAGGACCAAGAGCAGAGAGGGGATAGAAGCTGCAACGAGGTTCCCTTTACTCTAAGGACAAGAAGATAAAAGAGCATGTTTTGAATCCCTCAGAAAGAGGGATTTCAATGCCCATTATGCCCATGAAGTGAAATTTTATCCAGCCAAACAGCATTAAGCAATCCAAAATCAAGGTACATTGACTCGATTCTGCATTCAGCACGTAGCCTCCATCTCTCTTAGTCATCATGCTTTTAGCAAAAGCTTTGTCCTTGTTGCACTTCTCAAAACCACAGAGAATTTCTTCAGCTCAGAATAATCGAAGTGCAAGAAAGAAGAGGCTTGAGGACAAGTCTTTTCATGTCATTGGGAGAGAGTGGTGTTTTCAGAGACAAGAACAATAATAAATTAATTTACAGTGGTTTAAAGTAGTTCTGCTCCTAATTTTCAGGTCTGACAGATCTAGAAAACACAAGGACAACAACACTAACAATGATTTATCCCTTCCGACCTCTTGGAACACTGCAGACAGCCAAAAGAATACAATTAAACAACATTGTAGCACTCTGCTCTGTTCCACAAAAATCCTCGCCACACAGAGCACAAGTACAAGGGCTCCAAATCAAACAGAGCAAAGCATGTTGCACACAAATGCCCAGATGCTACTGGCAATCTGCACTAGAAAAATTGGCTTGGCCAGGCATATTTGTTGGCCATTGCACAGCCTGTCCTGTTAAATCATTTGTCTCCCAGGAGTGACTTGATCCACCTGCACCTACGTGCTGGCTTAGCCCCTTGTAGAGTGCTTGTGCACTCTCTCCTGGGGACTCTGTTGCTCCTTCTGTGCTTCTCCTGTGTGCTGGACCACCCCTGATGTGGTCTCCTCATGGGACAGAGGAAGCAGTCCTGCATGCTGAAAGAGTAAAGGCACTGGTCAAACCTGCTGCTGCACTCCACAGAGCCAGTGACATAAAAAATGAGGCTGGCTGCCAGAGCTTCACAGAGCTCAATGGCACTGGAAGGTTGGGTCTAAAGCAGCAGCTGGTACTGAGGCACTCCGAGTCAAAAGGAGGGGGTCAGGTGTCTGCAAGCCTTGGTCTCTCTCCCCAAAAGCAAGACACAAAGATCAGAAAGCCAAGAACTGCATGACAAGTGTGCCATATTAGAAGTTTCCTTCAAGGAGTTGAAGTTCTGGATACACCGGAACCAGAGATTCCAGCTTCAGAGGGTCACAGGGCTGATGGAGGTGGGTCAACTGCTTTGCAATTCAGGTGGAGGCCTGATGAACTAGACCAAGACTACTGAGTTGCTTGTGCTTGGGCTTATGTACCAGAAACTGATCCCCAAGTGAAAAATGAGGTGGTCATAAACTCAGATCAAACAGCACTTCCAGCTGAGAAATCTCCCTCTATAGAGAAACCATATCAGCTCTAGGCTTGTGCTTGTTATCATTCCTAATAATTTTTGTTCCTTATTATTATACCCTTTTTTCTACAATTTTTGTACTGTAGGCAGCAGGAGATCAGAACAGCAGCCAGGCAGACTCCGTGCTTCTCTGGTTAACACACAGACATCCAGAGAGACAGTCTGCTGATGCCTCTCTCAAGAAAGTGGTTTTGTAACTTTAAAATGCTATTGAACCTTGAAATCTGTTGTCACCTGGTAAAAAAACCAAAACTCCTCCTGTACAACAAGTCAATGACTCACAGAAATGCAAACATGACCATCAAAAATAACAGATGATGGGCAGAACAGACAAGAGTAATCCAGGATAATAAATTGTGAACTCTCTGAAAACCAAAAGGAGCCCTGCAGCATAACCCTTAAATCACCACTGGATGGCTTCAATGAGCTAAGTGTAATTTGGGGCAAACCACAAGCCAGTGCTCAGTGGGGATCAGCCACAGCACTGCTAACATCTGAGCAGACGAGAATATTGTTCTGCTGATCAGCCTGGACGGCCCTGTGCCTCCTGACTTTTCCTGCTGTAAACCCTTTTCATTACAGCTGACTCACATCTGAGCACTTGGTCACTCCTCCTGTGGGGTACAACCCTACAGTTACTGTAGATCTTCCACTTTTTATAACCTTTATGTACAAACTTTTTCTCAGGTGAAACAGAATAAAGCCTTAAAATTAGTACAGGGCCTGCCTTCTCCTTTCCCACTGGGAACTGTTCACTCCATCAACCACAGCAAGAACTCTGAGTCACATTAAAGCACTACAAATCTTCTTCCCATTGACCTCCTTCAAGCAGCAGGACGTAACCTTCACCCACTAGTTATCACATCCCTTTTAACATTTTATACCAGAGCTTAAAGACATGTTTTTAAAAATTGCTTTAAAGTGGCTATTTGAAAGAGAAGTACAGCTATCCTGAAGTGCAAGAACAAGATATATATATATAAATATAAGTACCTTCCAAAATATTCCCTTCTTAGCACTTGCTTACATTACAGCTACCTCATTAAGTGAAAGGGCATGAAGAAAGAAATAGAAACTTGTTGTATTCAGAGGAAAAGAAACTTTCAATTAAGCCACCTACCCTAAATGAGAATTCAAGGTTTTCTCCTCCCCAGACTTCCATTCCTGTGTCATAGGAACCAAGATAATCAAAATATTTCTTGCTCACAGAAAATAATCCACCTGCCATGGTTGGAGACCTATAAAAGAAAATAGTAACTCTAAACTGAATAAAAAGAAAAAATATTAAACCAATGCAGCAGAAAAAAAAAATACAATACATTTTTATTTTCTTTTTTCTCAGTCTTTCCTGGATACAAAGTAGCAGTCAGAAATTTATCAATTATTATGAGGCCATTTGAATTCAATTTTGTAGTAAAAAACTGTATCTGAAACAAGCACCAGAATGTAAAAATATTGTGTTCAAGTAAATTTTGCCAATTGCAGTGTCTTTGTGAGTAAATGAAGAGCCTCTTCACAGAACAGAACATTAGCTTCTTTGTGGCAGAACTGTATTAGTCGGCTCTGAAATTCTAAGTTCTGTATTCTGATCTATTTTACTTAAGCAATAATTAGTGCTTTAGTAATTAAAAACAACATTCTTGATCCCACTGATATCAGTGGGATATTATATTATTATATCATTATTATATCATTATATCATTATTATATTATTATTATATCAGTGGGAATAATATTATTATTAAACTCTCAGACTTTAATTCAGTAAATATAGTTCCTAAAGAGATTTGTTTTCTTTCTAAGAAAATCTACCCAGCTGCATGTTCTTAATTTTTTTACTAAGTTTGAGAAAAAAAAAAAAAAATAAAAAAAAATCAGGAGTCATGACTGGGTCCTCACTGAAGATCACAAGGCCTGGAGTGATAGCACACTTAAGGGATGTACTTCCAGTAGGGTAGAGTGTGCACATATCCATAAATTTGTATTTGTTCAGTATTGTTCCTTATTGTTTACAGTCTTAGGATAACTCTCTTTAAAATGGCAAGTATACACTGGCCATTAGAACTAAGTTCAGCTGACATTATGTGAATTTTGGTAAATTACTTTTGAGGTAAATATTAACAAAAGCGAGATGCATGATCAATTACACTGAATCTGTCAAAACTAATTTTACCAGTTATCTTTTTGAAGCAACACTGTCTCACATTGTCATATGTGGTTTCAAAGAATGGAATGAGATGAGACAAGACAGAAGGAAAAATAACAAACTCCATAACCAGTCAAGTCCTTCTGTCTCCCCTCCAGATCTCATCTTTCCAAACCAAGCTGTTGGTGACACCACTCTCAGCACTGCTGCTTTCTCCAGACACTTGTCAAGCTCACAGTCCTCAGGCTACCATGAAACTTTATCCCCATCATTTTCCTCTTGGGATGTCAAAGACAATTCTTATCATAAAGAAAATAAAAGCATCATATTTGAACTAAATGTTTTAAAAACACTTACTGTATTCAGAATTTTTTTTAAGGAGGATGTGGATTAATACATGCTGAGAAAGACTCAATTATTACCTCACTTTTCCCATTCAAAAAAAAAGTTCTTTCTGTTGAGGATAAGTTCATTAATATTTGTGAAATACTGGGTATTAATATCATGATAAGCAAGTTACAAAAGACTGAGAAAAAGTAATAATTCCATATTTTTGTGGTCTACACAATAACAAATAAAAGTACTAACAAAATTACTGTATTAAAAGTGCCAAACAGGTTAATTTACTACAATAAACTGCAGAAATACAGCACCTTCCATAGCAGATGAATAGGTTGAATATGGCAGATCCTCAGCTATCAGGATCTTGTCTACCATTCCTATTTTCCAGATGCCTTGTTTTTTCTGTTCTCTTACCTCTCCTTAAAATACAACATCAAGTTGTAAAATAGAACTACAAATACAAATAATACCAATTGATGGCATCTTGTCCTTAAAGAAAACAAAACTGAAACCCATAATGAAGATGTCAGCCTGAGGTCTGTAAGTTAGCCCTTCACAGAAACCATGGTGGATGGAGCTGTATTATTTCACCCCAGTAAAGAACTGGAAAAATGGTTCACCTTTGAAAATAGCAGAGTGCACTACAATTATCATTACAGCACAGAAAAAAATCTTCAAAACTACTTCTGCCTTCTTACTGGTTGGTGATTTTTTTTCCCTTTTCGTTGTTGCCCATGATACATTTTTTTTCACAACATGGAACTCTTTGCTTTGCACAGAGGACATCCTACAGTATCAGTTAGTCAGTTACACTCTCTCCATGTGCTGGTAAGCATCTGTAAAAGTTTGCTCAGAGGAGTCAAAAGACTACTTTGCAATAGTTTTTCCATATGGAAGATGAAACAGGAATTCCAGCTTTTAAAGCACTATTTTTTCCCGAGGGCATGGTAAACAGGAGCTATTTTGGAAAAAATGGGCAACTAAACAAATTACAAAATACATAGTAATACTTAATAATATGCTCATTTCCCAGATATCTTTCAGCACCTGGCATTTTCAGGTGAAATCAGAAACACATTCACAGTTTCATAGGATGCGTAAAAATGAACCTGATCACGTCGGTCTTGGACTTCCTCCGTTTTTGTTCTCTTTCAGGAGTACTATGCCAAGTGAAGACCAGCCGCCAGTCAAATCCACCAATCTGTGGCTCACCAGCATTTCCCAAGTACTCAAATGTATTCCAGTCAATAACATCAATAACAGGGCAGACAACAGCTGTTTCTTCTTCAGCAATCCTGGAATGTTTTTGAAACGAAAGGGTGACTAGAAACTTCTCTAAATATAAAAAACTGGAACTAACAAAAACAAAGAATGCTAACAATACAAAACATGAAGTTTTACTCCTTTTCAATTCATGCTGCAAGGACAAGGAAATGATGATACAATAAATACAAGAATTTCCCCCATTTTCCTACTGGAGATCATCAGTAGGGTGTATGAGGATGGACTCTATTGGCAAGCATCAAGCTTCCTGGATGGTGGAAGCAAGATATGCCAGATGGCTTGAGATAACACATTCAGCATCTGGCTTGGCTGCCATAGCCAGCACTACTTTATCAGCAAAAAAAGTCCATTTTCGTTTGTACAGGTAGCTGTTTTAGAGAGCAGTTTGATTGCATAGTTTTGCAATGATGAATAATAAACCAATAAACCTAGACTCTTGGCCCTTTAAGTCATGGCTGTTCGTGTAACTGTGATCATTTGCAAATGTTGTACTGAGTACTGTAATAGTACTCAAAAAGAAGCCCTGAGTTTAAGAAAAAAACCCAAACCTGCAACATGGGAATTAGATCTCCAACAATGAAACATAACTGAAGGAGGCTTCCAGAAACCCTGGCAACACAGGGGATGAAAGGAGAAACAAGACAGAACTGCAGAATGACATTCCTAACACCAAGGGTGATCTAAAGATAGTCAAGATCTTTATCATACTAAGGATACATCTTGCAGGTCTACTTCTACAAGGAGATAAACCCCTTCCTCCCATTTCTCAATATCATGCAGGGTTTTCAGGATGCCTTTCCAAAAGGATTTGTCCTTACAGAGGCAGTGGGATTCTTAGCCTTCTCCTCACCTTCTAGAATGGCCTCCCTTAGCACTAGGAGCTACTTCAAGCAATAAAGCTCAAGCCGAGGTCTTTCTCCTAAACCACTGTTTAGCATCTTCCCTGTTTTAGTGTTAGACATCCCCTGATAGTTCAGTGAAATTAAGGAATTTGTTTGACTTAAAGATGCAGGTATGCATTTCAGCCCTGCATCTTGTACTTACGTATTTCAGAGGTGAAGGAAAACTGAACACAATTTATTGACAAACAAGTAAGAGATGCAGTGCATCTGTCATTCAAAGGGAGCTCATTCCTCATGGGATTGTTAGGTTAAAAACCTCTAGGCTGACCAAGGGCTCACACTGTGAAATTAGAGTAGTTTGTGATTGTTAAATGCAGCAGATAACAGCAGCAATTCCAGAGCAGCATTGTCTGAGCTGAGAAAGACTGCCTTAAGTGTGAAACGGCCTCTTATTGCTGGAGGGAATATGTGAAACAGCTGTTTTCTTCTTTATGATATCCCATAGAAATCTTGTTTGGTAGAGCACACAAAAGGGCTTATATAAATATTGTTATCTCCTGTCTCACTTGCATAAAACTTTGTACAAATCCTCAGTGAAAAGCCACCACCTTTTCTGTAAGTTGTGAATTAACTAGACGGTACAATGCACAGGCAGCTTATAAATACAACTATGTTTGCACTGCAAAATGCTAACACTGCTGTATTGCTGCCATACGTTTGAGTCAGACATGCCGCAGAAAAAGCCCTTAGAGATGTGTGTCTGCACCTGCAGCAAGAACGGCAGGAATTCCAAGGGAGGGCTAACTTTTTACAGGTGGTGATTATCGCGTTTAGAAAACTCCCAATCCTTCCTCAAGACTGCCATCTAGTGGTGCGCTAAAGAAGCGAAGAAATCTCAGCGCTGTCTCCCCCGCTGTACATTTTCTTTAGGGGACAGTTGTTAAACCCACGCTCATGATTTGATGTTTATCCCTTTTCCTTTCTTCACACTATCATAGTTAGCCCGCAGTTACCTGGAATACACTCGGTGTGAAATTTAGAAACAAGGTAAGTATGACAATTTCAAGAAAACCAAAAAAAAAAATGAAATAGTAATCAAGATATAATTTCAAAGGGACGTGAGGAATTGGAGAACACCAGTCCCACTAGGAATCAGGAAGATTTACACACACCAAGACTCCATGTGCTTTAGGAAGTCTCTCTCCAGTTTGTTAAAGGCTGGTTTTTTCTGGTCCTTTTCTGTAGTCTACAGCACCTGGTGGGAACCTTAACAAGATCCAAATGAAAACACTGGCCTTGAGGAAAGCTTTTTTTTTCGTTTAATTATGTTTTAAAGAGAGCTGGTTTTCTACATACAATACTTAGGAGGTCTGATTCATGTCCTGTATCTATCAGTACCTGCTAATGGCATCCAAAGGGGTAAAGAAAAAAGAGCTTTTGTTAGCAAAAGGGGCAAAAGCAATAGAGCCTCGTGACATGATGCAGGTGCTGTGGTGAGGTGGCTGAACCCACAGCAGGAAAGGTGCATGTACGGCTGCTGGCTACACATGGGTGAGGCTTTGAGAATACAACAAATATTCTCAGCTGTAACAGAAGGCTAGTATTCTGGTTTCTAGGCATTTTTTGTTAGAGTTCTGGGAAGGTTCCCTGTTTTTTGTTGTTTGTTTGCTTGCTTTTAATTAACGGAAGTTTTCTGAACAGCCTGGCGGATCTGCAGAATAGACAAGAGACTACACAGGCATAAAGTACAGTGTCCCAGGACAGATGGTTTCCAAGTAAGAGTCAGTGTTGACATAACATTAGCTCCTCTGTATGCTACACCGTGGTCCTTTATATCAGAACCAGTCTGGAAAGGTGGATTTGCTCAAGACTAACATGGAGTTTATTGACTTGTATACCAATCTTCTTTCACAAACATTGCCTTGCAGGGCACATATCTTTCCAGACCTTCTGCTCATCCACCACCCAGGCTGACAGAAGTAGCCTCCTTTACCAAGTTTAGTTTCAAAGCTGGGGGTATGGACTTGTCCTCCTGAAACCCAAAACTTTCCACTGGCTGAAGAAAAAGAGCAGTTTGATCCCTCAGACCAAAAGAAAAAAAAAACAAACCAATAAACAAAAACAAACAAAGAAAAACCCCACCATGTTGTGATGTTTCACATTTCCATTTGCTTTGCAGAGCCAGGAGACAAACACCAAGCACTTGCAGTGCCTCAGGGACCAGAATGCAGTAACCTTTGGTGAACCATGAGTCATTTTTCCACTGCAGAAGTGGGCCAAACTGTCTCGCCCCTTCTTCTCCAATGGGAGAGAAAACCAGCCCAGAGCATAAGCTCACCTTGCCAGCAGTGGCTCCAGCCAGCCCTCGTGGCATTCACAGTGGCAATCCAAGAACGTTAGGATGTCTCCTTTTGCCACAGACGCCCCCAGCAGCCGGGCTCGAACCAGCCCCTCTCTCTTATTTGCACGGATAAGACGCACCTTGCGCAGGCCAGCCACATAGTTTTCCAAAGTCTCCTTTAAATGTTCTGTAACAAACCAAAAAAAGAGGGAATAACATAGTCTGAAATTATTTATGTCATACTATAGGCAGCTCTCTCCTCATTAACATATTACTTATAGTAGGGCTCTAATGATTGTGGCATTTTGAACTCAGATTCTGCTATACAAGTTTAGAAAGCACATGAAAGAAGCACAGAACTTAGATGGACACAAAATTGAGCGCTTCACATTTACCTCTGTAATATATTCCCAGATTGATAAGTGCTTCTCAAAAGTTACTTAAGACTTTCTGTATAAAAGTTTTAACACAATTAATGTGTGGTGGAAAATGCCAGCATCGCCTTTATGTCCTGTTGTTCAAACAAGACCAAAGAACTAGGTCACTGTCATTATATGAGACACCAGGGGAGCATTGGTGCAATCGAAACTTGCTCAATTCAGGGAACCTGAAGTGCTCTGATCAGACTGTAGTCTATCTATACACAGAAGCACTCATGTTACAACACAGCAAATGTCCTTCCCCATTCCCAACTAAATTTGGTCCATAAGCCACATTTTTCACTGGCACGCTACAAAAAAACCTATTTTTCAGTGAGAGGCCTTTGTGGTACAGCTTTCTGTTATGTGACCTGAACAGCATAACTTTTTCTCCCATGAATTGTCTGACCAAAAAAGCCCATCAACATAATTTCTTGATCATATTGACGAATCAATATGATTTAGACTTATTCTTCCTACCTTTGTCACTGTAATCATCTACAAGGATGATTTCTTCCAAAAGTATATCTGGAGATGTCTCAAGAACACTGTGAACAGTTCGCAGAAGTGTTGACCAAGCCTCGTTATAAAAAGCTATCACAACAGAGGTTTTTGGCAGGCTATAATAATCATATTTCTTCTCTCTACATCTGTAAGGGGGAAATAACTTCAGTTACTCAGTTATTATGCAGTTATTATTATAGTTATTTAGTACAAGTGCAAAAGCATTTATTAATTTTCAGGAAATAATTCTTAAATCCACTTGTACACTAGTTACTAACTGCAAGCAAGAACACAGGATCTTAAAAGAACTGCATGTGTGTGGAAAATTGTATGAGAAAACATTAGAAAGTTGCTCTTACAGAGGTTCCATTCCCACTGAAGCATTATGAATAAAATTCTGCTAACTACCAAAAGGTCTAAAAAGAAAAATAATGGAAGGCATTCTGGGCTGATGTAGCTGAAGTAGCTGTCTGCACAATTTCAAATAGAAGAATAAGCAATGGCCAGAATGTGCCTCAGATTAAAGGAAAAAAAATAAATGTAAAACCTGAATGCAGTAAAATCAGTAACATGAACTAGTGATAACAGTTGGAAACAGTTTGGAAAATAGAACAAGTGCTAGACAGTAAAAATATAACTGTTTGGGAGCAGCAATACATAAAGAGAGAAAAAAAATAAACCAAACAACCAGCAACAAAACTGAAATGTATGTACACTGAAGCAGAATTTGGAGAGACCACACAACTGGCAAAGTCTAATAGTGAAATCCACAAAAACCTAAAACAGATATAGAAATGCATGGGTTTGGCTCTATGGAGAGCCAGAAAGTTTGCAAACCTTTGGATGAAGCTCCAGAATGTATTTCCTATAAATATATAGATGAACTTCCCTAAATGAACATAAGGATGCCAAGAAACTTATAGCTGAGCCAAATGTATAAATTCTTAAAAGAATCCCCTGGTTTAGAAGAATTTTAAAATAACGATGGCATTTTCTACAGCTTCTCCTCTTTGCTTAGAGCATTCCACATTGGCAGTTTTTATTGCCTGGAGTCACCAAGGTTTGTCAGGGGCAGGAGGACAGACTTCAATTTCTGCAGACTGCTAAATCACAACAGATACCAAAGCAGGTAGGACATCCCTCCTACCAAAACAGAACAGCAGCGAGTCCTCCAGAGCATATGGTATGGGGAGCTGAAAAGGGAAATTAAAACTGATCAGTAGAAAATGTGACAGGAAAATCCCTTAGGTCAATTTAGGGGCACAAAAATTCCCCAAAACACTAAGAAAATGACATTAAAAGCAAACTACTTACATATAGCACATTGAGAATATTTTAACTATTTAAGGCTGTTTTGTCTGCAATAGAAAAAGTCTTATAGGTTTCTTTGAAGATCAGGCAGTACCTATTAAGATCTGTTGTACAGCAAGAAAAAAAATCTGAATCTGATTATGCCTAAAATGAAAATTCTTACGAGGAAAACAAAAGTCTGTAGAGTAGTTCTGTAATAAATACATGAAAATGAGGAAGCAGCAAGGACAAATGACACTCGGGCAAAGGAGGCGCCCAAAGGCTGCTCCTCAGACATGAAAGGAACACCACACAACACCACCCATGCATACAGACACATAGACACACACACTGAGCTAGTGAAGTACAAAAAAACCTGTCCCTCCAGGCTGTAACTTGTCTTGAGGGCCTTTCAGAGAGGGAACTGTCTCACACCAACACCTGGTGACAGAATTATTTAGCCAGACATTCGTGTGTTGACACATAAAAAATGAAAAGGAGTGATGAGTGACATTTTAATTAACTTTATTTTTAATGCTGAAAAACCCACTGTATGAATCCAGTTTTAGAAATACATATTTACTTTAGCCCACTGAAAAGCATTTCTCCTAAGTACTGCCAGGAAAAAAAATTTCCATGTATACCAGTCACTCGTACCAGGTAATTCTGAGCTCATTTCTTGATGGAAATAGGATTTCTACATACTCATTTTAGAAAACTGAAGGAAAATATAAATAAATAATAAAAAACCACCAGGAAAGTATTCTTTGAAAAATATGTCAGGAGGATTCATGGAATAATAATGCTGTATTCCATTTAAAGAAAGGAAACCCAAAAGGTCTAAAGAAGCTTATAAGTCTAATTATAGATTAAAGACTTCAACGGATTTACCTGAAATTACATGCTGGAGATGGGAAACATAATTTGGCACAAAGCAAGGCAATCCCTACACTGTTTGTGATTCACTGTGCATTGCTGCCTCCTTCCTTGAGCACACCCCAAACTGCAGGAAAAGGTCAGCCTACTACAGGACATACCAGAGCACACGTTTCTTAGGTTTCCAAAGTCAAGAAAGAGGCCAGCACTAAAAGATGGGTTTAATTTACCAGCTCTGTGGTGGAAGGCAGCACAGGAATGCAGAGAAGTGACCCACCATAGTAGCAGGGCAGGCTGCTGGCCAGCACGGCCACCCTGACCTGAGCAGTACTCTGATACCCTTATTCAAAAATATAAAGAAAAAGCCACCACATTATTCAACTTCTGTGCATATTTGCATGTTTATCTTAGATATTATTTCCAATACATGTATTTATTGCTAAATTGCTAGAAGATCTCAACTGTTAGCAGTCTCAAATAATGTTGCTAAAGTGAAGCACGCTTTTCCTGATCTTTCTGTAATGAAAGAGTTTTGCTGAGCCTTAAAAATTAATCCCTTTCGGGAGATTACAAACTCAAAGCATTTACGCCACGGAAAAATTGTAGCACAAGAAAATCTTTAAAAAAACTAATGAATCCCTGGAATGGAAATGCTTGGAAGTGTTGCTAAATAACAATTAAGTGGCATGCATATGGACACTAAACATTACCACTTCACAAGATATAAAAACTTCAAAAAACTCAAAAAAATCCACTACGAGTATGAAACCTGATTTAAAGCCTAGTGGTCATAACTCATCTTTTCTATTTCTCAACTCCTGTTTACCACAGAAGAGCCTTAGCAGCCCATCTTCTGTATTCACATTTGCAAACCTCAAGATGTACTTTTATTCCCCATGTGTCAGCCAAGTATCCCAGCTCCTACTTTCCAAGTGAATCATTTCACTCCTACTTTGGATTATTCAGAAAAACAAATGCATATCAATTATGGTATGTCATTAAAATGACAGCAGCTGGTGACAGCAGTCCCAAAATATGTTTTTGCAGATACTGGGAATGTATATTTATGCATACTATACTGCAACCTGCTTTCGGCTTCTGAGTAGGGTGCTCTTTAGTGCTATCCTCAAAACCCATAACACCGTCCTTTCCAATAAAGAGGATCATGTTAAGATAGGATTAATTGTATCTCACATTATTCATCCTAAAAAGTAGCAGTCACCATTGAGCAGATCATCTTGGCTATGCAAGTCCAGAAAGACAGATCCTCACCCTCCTTAAGCCATTGATCCAGCACAGCCCAAGAGACCTCAGTGGGTCCCCACCTTCCTCTTGGTTACAGAGATCTGACTATGGAACTTCTTCTATGAGTAAAGTTAAATGACTATAGGAATTTACCCATGGTCCCTACCACTGGCTGTGATACATCACTTTGAATCTAGCCATCATAACTACCAAATGGTTGGTAAAAACATAACACAGACATGAGGAAATTAGTTGCCTGTAAGCGTGGCATTTCCAAGCATGGAAAATAAATGCAGATGCATTTAAAGTCCGACATTCTTTCACTATTCTCCTTATCTTAGTCAATCACAGGGAATTTACTGTTTTGTAAGAATTAAATGCATTTTAAAATAAAAAATTACCTAAATTAAAAATGGTATGTTGAGAGGGTGCATTTTCTTCTGAGAAGTACACATATGCCTAGTCAACCTGATTTTGGTAACAGTTATCAGATACCAGGATCAGCCGCTGAGGAAAAACCTGTTGCAAACACATCCAAGAGGCTTTTCTAGAGGCAACAAAATAAATGCATATAGTTTTAAACAGGACTCAGATTTCAATGACAGACACTGGTATATAATGAATAATATCCACAACAGGTATGGCAATGCAAAGGAGTGACATCTGCTCAGTTTCTGCCCTCCAGTCACGCCTGCTCTCTGCAGATTCACTAGAAAATGCACAAGCCTTATGCACAGTAGAGTGACACTCAGAGAAAACAGGGCCAGGACTGCCCCAACCATCTTCCAAGGAGCAGATGGGGACACTACAATGCTCCAGCAGCACCCTATTTCTGTATCGTCCTTCATTTCCCTCGGGCACTTTCTGCCACACTGGGTGGCTGTTCCAGAGACCCTCCTACTTGATAACTGTGGCATAAGACAGGCATAAAACAAACAAAAGCTTTGTCTTCTGGCATTTCTTATCAATTTACACTAAGATAACATCTATATTATAAAATTCTAAATGTGTTCATCCATAAATCTTTAAATCTCTAGATGGGAAGAAAGAGAAACTACTGCTGGTATGTACCTGAACACAAAACCACGTTCACTATGTACCCCCTTTCCTCTATGTTTCACTACAGCTTCTACTCAAACATCTAAGTCCACAAAATGCAAACTGAAGCCAAACATGTAAAAGTGCATCATCATACATTAAAATTCCTGTGGGTTTTTGGTTTTGCCTTTTTTACACTGCATTTTTAAGTCACAGTCTAACTGAGAGTAAGCAGCTGACAAGTTTAATAAATTAACATTGGAATCTACTACACTACACAGTCTTCTTTTAGCAAGTTTTACAATAGGTTATTTATTAGAAACTAAGGAGACATCACTCAGGAAATGCCCAAACAAAATTAAATGGGTTGTTTTCAAGAACATTTGTGTCAATTAATGTAATCACTCAATTTATTTCTTTGTAAAGAGCTGTTTCTCTAAGAGATGTGTATCTATACACAGGGAGAGAGAGCATGAATGTGTGCACACTGGGCACACTGCCATGAGTTAATTAGGAATGGTTGCTGACATGCTCTTATTTAAGACTTTAACCACAACTGTGAAAATGATACAGAAAGGGAAAAAAATCTCCAAATTTTATCTTCTATATACACAATTACTTATACTTTAAGAAAAAAAAAAATATGAAACGTTCTCTGAGTTTTCAAAGATTTGTTAAGAATACAAACTGTTCATAA